ATTGTATTAAAAGCCCTACAGTGAAGAGAAGAGAAAAAGAGTGTGTGAGGGAGGGGACCTAGTGCTGGACTATGTCAAGCATACTGAGGTGCCTACACCTCCAACCGCTCAATCAGACAATCTGGAAAGAAACTGACAGCAAGAACGCCACTGATATCGATTAGCCGCCATTTCTTGCAACGTCTCCAGCCAAGCACAGACGGGGGCACGGGGACCTTATCCTGGAAGTCTCACAACACCAACAACACCCAAACTCGCGCGGACACCCCCCGGTATAGCTCAATGGGTCTAGTACGTACACAAACCGCCACACCACGGTAAGGTCCAGTCTCTTCGTGACGGCACCAATTAACGGGCAAAACTTCCTCACCGTTGTGACCTGAACGTAAGGTCCAGTCTCTTCGTGACGGCACCAATTAACGGGCAAAACTTCCTCACCGTTGTCGATGACCTGAACTTTTTTGTCATGTCTAAAACAACAACGATGGCAACCATCGCTAAACTGCAGCGCTTGTTTCCAATATTCGGTTTCCCGGACACTACTGTGTCCGACAATGGTACTCAGTTCATATCCTATCAGTTTGGTGAATTCTTTCGAAGACATATTCCACTTCCCCACCTTCCAACCCCAATACAACGGTTAAGCGAAACTGTTCGTAAACACCTTTACACGCGTGTAGACAAAAACAGGACTTGCGTTGACAAAGGCAGAAGAGGAGGGGACCACGACAAAAATGCTGGATACGTGCCTGCTGAATTATAGAGCAACTCTCAATGCAGTCTCCTGACGTTCACTCTCCAGCAGAGCATATGATGAACAGGCGGTTGAGACTTACCCACGATGCTATCCTACCAACACATACGTGTTTTCAATCACCGACAGGAGGGAAACCAACGTTAAATTCTAGGACCCGTCTGCTGTATCGCTCCGGGCATCGAAAGTGGACTGTTGGAATCGCCGTAAGAAGATTCAAGCAGGTGATCTATAGCGTCCAGGTGAGATCATCGATATGGAAACGGCATGTCAGTCAGCTACGGCCGACTGAGTGCCCCATCATAAAAGCGGAAAAATAGTTACCAGACCACAAGCTGCTGCTCAAAGCTTTTGATTTTCCAAGACCGGCATCAACAGCTATTGCTTCACATTTACCGCCCAAGACAGACCCATTGATGCAACCAAGACATCTATTGGTCGCGCAAGAAAACTTGGAACCTTTTCAAATTGACCCACGCCAACAATCTTACACTAAACGGCCAAAAGTGGGAGGTGTTAAGTTCAGTTTCCTGAGTGCCCGAGACTTACTGTGACCCTCAAACTCCACCGAAATCTCAACAAGGAAGCCGGCAAGCATCCAGGTCAGTCAGTCAATAAATCTATTCATCAAGAGAATGGATCAACGAAAGGTACCACTCAAATGGCGCGAGGTTCATTGTAACTGTTGTACTCGCTTGTTCGCAATAAAGCTGTTGTGTTCCTTGTTGGCGGGTCTTTTTCCAGCACTAGGTCACTGGAGCCGGGGGAACAGTATATGGAATAAAACACACCAGTCTTCCTTCTAAGCGAATCGAAACATGCACTCACTTTTTTCTACGTGGTTTTGCTCCAGGGGCATCTGTGAGAACGATTTGCACAAGATGGCACCAATTCACACACTGGTTAGCCACGAACTGACACCTGAATTACAGAATACTGACATACAACATTCTTTCAGGATAAAAGGGTTGCTGTGCACTGTTGAACATACTTCGAACTCGGTCACCAGGAGACGGGTAAACGCAAGGTTACAGTCAAGTCCTTCCGAACACATGAACTCAGCTTTGCCAGGTAATGATTATGGTATAAAAGAACCTCGCCAGGAGGGGTAAGTGACTTGTCATGATTATTTCAAAGTAAAAGTTGATATCAATCACGCGACCAGAGTGAATTACATGCCTGACGATAGAGAAAGCTGGATTACGACCGTTATGGATCTGACTAAATTTTTTAATTGTTCGGCTGTAGCACCTTCCCGATGCCTAACTGTCATGCCACTCAATGGAAGCACGAGGGCTGGGATACTGCCAGGTTGCCCAAACCTAGGCAGGTAAAGTCGAGAGGGAGAGGTCGGGTTCGAACCATGGACCTTCTGGACAGTAAATTCGCGCTCCAACCACTTCAGCCATCTGACCGGCCCATCATAAGTAAGATACACTGAGGTACACGTCCTTTTGCACGCGATTCAGGTCTGCGTTCAATCCTCCCAGCAAAACCTTCACTATAACTGTTAGTGAATGTTGAGTGTTTCTCAAAACGTTTCGATCGGTTGCAACGGCATGTTCCTTGTTTGCCACAACAATCTTGAATGTGCCGCGTGGTAAAATTCGCCTGAATGCGGCACTAAGTGCTTCGGATACACCTAGTTGTAGCACTCTCCTTACACGGCACCGTGAGAAAAATATATTTTTCTTCTGCTGTTTGCTTCACTCCCCTTTCATTTTGAAATTTTGAATTCCTGATGGCATGCTGTACATCCATCTGTATTCCGCATGTTACACGCTTGAGCTCCGTGAGTGTCAAGGTACCAGNACTCTCCTTACACGGCACCGTGAGAAAAATATATTTTTCTTCTGCTGTTTGCTCCACTCCCCTTTCATTTTGAAATTTTGAATTCCTGATGGCATGCTGTACATCCATCTGTATTCCGCATGTTACACGCTTGAGCTCCGTGAGTGTCCAAGGTACCAGCCAGCAGGAATTTTTATTTTTTGATACTGCTACACAAGTTCGAAAAGGATGCTGTCTTACGTTGTTCCATACGAGAACAAAGCACAGTGTTATTTTTTTGAAAATCAAGATCGCCTGTCTTCCAATGGAAAATGAAGACAACGGAAAGGGAGGAAGCGAAAGTATTTTGGTCTTCTGGAGATTGGTGACGTCCTGTCCGCCATCCGTCGACGCCTATCCAACCCGGATACCCGTTGTTCCTCGTCAAAATGGTCAAATCGGGAATAGTGGGGACATTCAAGCCACTGCAACAGCCAGAAGAAAGCCTGTAACCTCACAAGACGTTCGCCCAGAAAACTCAAACGGCGAATAAGCGTTTTAAACCCGTTTCCGTTACATTCGAAATCGGAGTGTACTGGATGTGACCTTTTTAGTAGAGATCAGATCACCAATGATGATTGTCAATTCAAGATCAACGTGTCAAATAAACACTACCCATAGCATAACAAAATAGCTTTTGTGTTCATACGTTAGAGCGGTGGTGAGTGACAGAACGTTTATTATCCTAGGGCGACTGCAAAAACTTACACAATCGCTACGCGGTTTGTACTTCCAATCTACGCCGATGCCTCTACGGATGAGTGCCTCGGGAGACGATGAGCCCAAAAAAGACACGCCACAGTACCGCCTCTATCGAGTAAGTTCTATCTACTACCCTCTGGTGCCAAGTGTCTCAGGCAAAGTTCAAGAGCGAAAACGGGTGTCAGGCGCCATAACTTGGTTGACAGTCGGACGTCTAGGAGAGCTAGCCGAACTATGGTTCGATACCAACGGCGATGAAATTGAGTCAGTTTCGATGGACTGTATACAAGACGTTACCTTTGGGATTAATCATAGTAATACTGTTCACCCACTCTTCGAAAATTTCTTGCTACCCTGCATGTCGCACTTATCCATACAAGTCACAAGGACGCACCCGAAAAAATGCCAAATGATGTTCCATAGAGCCGACTTGCCCTCCCGAAGGAGGCAACCGCATTTGGGGAAGTAAAGTAAACAAACCCATGAGGAATAGGAACTCCCCACCAAATACGCTTGTCCCATCAGAAACGACCGTTTCTCAGGCTGAGGGACCCTTTCTGGAGAGAGGACCATTTGGATGGTCCGCTTATGTAGTCTCCTCGATGGAACAAACTAGATGGTAAACTGATATAATACACCGCACGTCAACCTCACAACGGTTACTCGCACAAGAGTCTAGAAAATCCAGATGATCACATACCTCCGAATCCGATCGTACCAGGCATTGACGGCATTGCTGGCATACCCTGAGGAGTCGAATAGGGAGGCATGGAGCCCATGGGTGGTCCAGGCGGTTGATACCCACCACCACCACCTTGTATCTGCAAAATGGTGACCAAGAAAACGGATATAATGAGCGGGCATAATAGGGTAAAAGATGCCTGTGGTTAATTATTACACCAACAGGAATGCTGGTAGCAACAGCTGCATGAGTGGGAGTGCCTGGTCGCTGAGGTTGATAAGTTGGTTGGTGACGTTTCGTCAGCAAATGAGGCAAAAACATAGATAGGCAGTAGTAGAGGAAGTAAACGGCTGAGCTCACAAAACAGACAAGCGGTCAGCAATTAGGGAGGACAGACGTAGAAAAAAACCTCCCTTCGCAGTATACAAATTGAAACACAAAAGGTAGAGCAAAATGTTGCTTTGACAGGTGCTCTCATGAATTATTGTGATGTGAAGTTATGGAGGAGGCACAGTGTGACAGGAATTTTCGAATAGTCCATTAGAGGAAGGAGGGAAGAGAAGGAAGAACAAAGGAAGCAAGACGTGAAGAGGGTTGTCAGACGGGAAGACTGACTTTTAGGGTTGCAAGACTGCCATAATCCGACCAAAGAGTTAACCATGTTTCATAAGGCAAACAAGCTTACTTTAACATAGTGATTTCAGAGGAGAATGGTGCTAAACTTGAGGGGATTATAATTGGGGGGTTGGTACTAGTAGGTTACGGGATCGTAAGAAAAGGCATGCCTTATTTGGATCCAAATAATCAACCCATCCCAGTTCGTAAGTAGTGAGATCGCAGGAATCCACATGGTGGAACCATGTCAATTTGAGCTAACGGATCAACGAGTGCCACACAGTCATTTCACTTTTGTGAGGATGCAGCTGCAGTGCTCATCTCAAAATTTCTAGGGCGGATTCAAACCAGCGACCACCTGGGTAGTTTTGTCTGGATGCGTACGATCACAAAGACCTGTGACCTGTGTTTCCGGACCAATCGAGTGGAACTCTAAGATATATCCGCCATTACAAGAGGAAAAGTGTGACAGAGAAGTTTCCGTATGCCAGGAACATATACAGCTAGAGATGAGTGATACCACATCTCAAATGAGGACAACTTAAGTAACTCAATGGAAACGCCTAATAAGTGCCCGAACGGCTTCGAGTTTACATCCAGTTCAGAATTCGGAGGCACACTACCCATGATTCCCAAAAAGTGTGCCCAGTGTCCAGACCAACAGGAATGAATTCCCTCTTCCCTGTAGGCATAGGTTCACCTCGAAGAATTTATACAGTCTCCGGTTGCGAGAGCCGAGTAGGATTTTTCGATAGAAAACATGATATATGAGTCGCTGTAGTGCGTTCTTGGGATTCCTAATTCATTGATATGGACTGATTGATGAGGACGGGTCGCAGGTCATGTGACTGTGAAGCCTGTATATAGAAAATAAGGATCAGAAAAACCTTTCCTCCGTGGATATGGTCGCGTCTGCACAACCTCTCGACATATTATGAAGAAACGGGACAAATTACTTCATTTAAATAACTAGGTTCAACTACCTCACCCCAGGGATGAACGAAATAAGTGCAACGTCGAATGGACAGTGCCAAACATGCTTTCATGCAGTCAAATTAAGCATTATAGAAAAATACTAATAATGATATGCGCAATAAATATCGGGTCCAAAGCATGAAGGTCCGACCAGACCTAAGTTACGCCCACAAAATGGCTTTACGGACTAAGGTTTTTTAACACAGGTACTTTCGCCGAATAACAGATGTTCAATACCAAGAAAAAGCGTACATCTCTCCCAATGAAAACCACAACCAAACCCCCCTAAGAAACGATTTAATGAGACTAGAAATACTTTTGCCACGATGTGTTCTTTTCAGAGGTTGGCTAACCAAGGCCAGCATCAATAATTTTGGGGACACCGCCCGTCCAATTTTACCGACTTGAAAAGGCTCGGAATGCTTGGAAGAAGGGGCTAATCAACTTAAAAACGGGAGTGAAACAAAGAATAAGACGAAAAACTCACTAGTGACATGATGGCATTCATCCAGGAACTAAAAGCAGAAAAGCAAAGAAAGATTTGGCAGTAGGGCAGCAACAGAGAAGTGAGTGAGGACGTTTTTCAGCAATCTTGTCAGCTTTATTTTTATGCTATGTGTTGAAAGGAAAGGTAGTCATTCCACAAATGATTCAATAAATTTACGGGATAAATTATTAAGCAATGTTCACGGCGCGTTGAAAATTTGGACTCGGATGAAGTAATACTAACTTGTCGGGGAAAACAGAAAGCTACTTAGGAAACACTAACTCATTCACCTGGAAAGAAACAACCCAGAGACAATGGTAGTTGTGAACGGCGCGGATACAGAGAATAATACGGTAGTGCCCCTAAGACAGACCCCTCAGAAGGGAGCCATTTCTGTGTAAGGGACACCGCAGTTCTCCCAGCGAATATGACTGTGTGAAACCCACTCCTAAAAACATCTTTAAGAGGAGTCATCATCATCATTGTCAGCTGTAATAACCGCGTAGTCGCCGTACAGTGGTTGTAGCTGCCGCAGTTTTGTTCACCGATGATTTGGGGGGGGAGGGGTAGGTAGCTACGCATTGGAAGAGGGAGCTGATAAATTGGAGCATAAATCCAGCACTGTCAGTGGCTGTCAAGTGGGGGAATTCGGAAGGGAGCCATGCATTGAAGGCAATAGCTTGGATGTATGAGCACCATTGAGGGCGCGACTGGACCTTGTCTGACAATGTCTCTAACCATTTATTTGGACAGTCTTGGGGTCCCCATCCAGGAAGACGGCAGTGACCAGTGCAGCTGAGTTTGCTAGTAATGGCTTTTACACTTCGCTGCCAAGTCATTGTTTGGCCGCCTCTGGCTCTCTTCCACCCTTCACATGGTTGGGCGAAAAGAGCCCTTCGATAGCTGCCGCAGTTTCGTTCACCGATGGTTTGGGGGGGAGGGGTAGGTAGCTGCGCATTGCAGGCGGGAGCTGATAAATTGGAGCATAAATCCAGCACTGTCAGTGGCTGTCAAGTGGGGGAATTCGGAAGGGAGCCATGCATTGAAGGCAATAGCTTGGATGTATGAGCACCATTGAGGGCGCGACTGGACCTTGTCTGACAATGTCTCTAACCATTTATTTGGACAGTCTTGGGGTCCCCATCCAGGAAGACGGCAGTGACCAGTGCAGCTGAGTTTGCTAGTAATGGCTTTTACACTTCGCTGCCAAGTCATTGTTTGGCCGCCTCTGGCTCTCTTCCACCCTTCACATGGTTGGGCGAAAAGAGCCCTTCGAG